CATACGAAAATATCTCGGTTAGCAGCAGAGAGTTTGCTTTCTAGTTGTGCTAGTTCTTCCAGATTATTTAATGGAAAATATTTTACAACTGGTGCATTTTCTGACTCCTGCCGAACTAGTTGCTCTGTTGCCACCTTCTGAGTTGCGATAGCGTCCATTATTGCGACATTTTGGGATTCTACCACCCGCCGAAGCTCCTTAATGGTGCCCTCAAGTTTTTCGAACTTTTTTACGAACGTGGAGCAGTGACTGCAGCACACCACTTCGTACACGTTTTGTGGTGGTTCTAGAGAACCTGCGTGAGTTTCTATCGTGGCTGCTACGCTTACGCGCCGAGATTCTAAACAATGCAAACAAATTAAGAATTAAATTTTGTTTTAGATATAGAACAATACTTTTACCTATAGTGTACTCGTTCGATACGCTGATTTGCCGTGCACTGCTTATGCGACGTGATTCTAAGGGAAATAAATTGAGCGAATGAGGGATGTACTATATTGATGGTTAAACATTGACAACTCGTAACTCTAAGCCTTTTCAAAGTAAGTTATGTATTGTCAATGTTTGACCATCGATATACTATTCTATTATAAAAGACATTTGTTTACCTATAGTTAATTCGATTTCATTTTTCCTCGATGCGCTCATGTCAGTCGTATCTAAAAGAACTTGGATTTTTCAAAATATTACAAAATTATTATAAAAAAAACATAAACTTACATTTTGGCTGTTTTGCATTTTTAGCCCCCGGTGTCGCGTTTCTGGGTGAGTACTTTTTTATAGACTTGGGGAAAAATAGAAATTATTAATAAAATTATAAAAACTAAATATAATAAAAAAAGGAGTTGTTAAATATGCAACTATATACAAGTGTGCAAAACTGGAATGAAAGGGTATGGCTGACGAGCAACCTGGTGCTTCACCACTCGCCTCTTCTGCAATGTGTTCACTTCTAGCAAGTGGCGCAGCCGCAGACACCACAGCTTCTTGGTCACTTGCACATAGCATTAATCGCCTTGCATTTTTCTACCTTTCCTTATAAACTAATCGTCTAACGTGGCGTTTACTTACTCGTTTCATTTTTATCCTTTTGGTTTTAATCCGCTTCCAAATTCAACTCCTTAAATTTCGGCTTTAACTTTTGCGCGCTTTCAATAACAATAACTTATTACGAAAACTGAGATTACATAAACGACTTTTATCGATTGACATTATAANTTTTATCCTTTTGGTTTTAATCCGCTTCCAAATTCAACTCCTTAAATTTCAGCTTTAACTTTTGCGCGCTTTCAATAACAATAACTTATTACGAAAACTGAGATTACATAAACGACTTTTATCGATTGACATTATACATCATTAAGGATTTGACATTTATCGATTGACATTATTATTATCGATATTACTGATGTAAAATTGTAAATGTAAGTATTGATGCCAATTCAGAGATAATTTAAAAATTTTTTTTGCGACGTATCGCGGAATTCTTTCACTTGACATTTCTTGCTTTCGAATATTCTACCTCTTTCGCCGAACATTCTACCATTTTCTTGTTTTTCGCTTCGCGTTGCCGCAGCATTCGCCACAATTGGAACAAATGCAGTTGGGCTCCAAATCTCAAAAAAAAAAAAAAAAATTGGAATCGATAGAGATGATTGAGCTGAGTATAACGGTATACTTCTTTTTTTGGGCAAACAACAACAACAAAAATTATCACAGGTTAAAGTTATTAAAATTATTTTACATTAATTCAATTTTTGTAAGAACTATACAACATATATATAAAGTACGTATAGCAATTTAAAGGGAATCAAATTTGCTATTAAATGAGATCAAAATTCATTCATTTGTTTTTGAGAAATTTTGATTTCAAAAATTGCTTATTTTGAACTTTAACCTTTGATAATTCTTCTTGTTGTTGTTTGCCCAAAAACCTAAAAAACCTAAAAAAAAAATACCGTTATACTCAGCTCAATCATCTCTATCGATTCCAATATATTTTTTTTTAATTTGAGATTTGGAGCCCAACTGCATTTATGCCCCAAAATTTCGATTTTCACCACAATTTTTATTGAATTTTGGCTTATAAAAAACTTTTTATATTTACCGAGTACCAAGCTCGGTGTGAAGACCCCTAATATATTTCTTACAATCAGCTTTCAAAGATTATATTGAACAGAAACTTCGACTTTTTATTGAACTTCAATAGTATAATATGTATGCATAATCTATAAATCATTGTAAAAAAAGGCTTCCCAGCTTGTAGGCTTGTATTTAATTAAAAATATTGTTATCAACGTGTTTTTTATTAGTACATTTCTGTTTACTTTTTTGCAATAATAATCGATATAACAGAAATGCAATGACAGTAGAGGAAAACAATCGATACTAACAATATAACCATCGATAGTATCGGATTTCTAGTTTTGCAACTATGGGAACAGTGTCGCCGACTCTACTTGCCTTTGTTAAAATTTGAAACAAAATTTCCCTGTATGGCAGTGGATACAAATAAATCAACTAAATCCTTCATTTAACAATAATTTCTATTAGCTTAAAAAATAAGTATCTTTTTACGTTATTTTTTTAGCTCATATTTTCATAGAGTATTGTCGCAAGAGAACTGATTAATATTTCTGATTTAAGTTGTATTAATTATAAATAGCGCTTCATATATATATGTAAGTATTCAAATTCAGGCTTCCTAAGTTTTTTACATATTCGTATAATTAATAATTCATTATCGACATTGGGTACGTCATCTGTTTGAATGATGTATGCATGAAAATATTATATCGATGAAATGTCCCCTTCATTTGTAAATAGCCCCACAAAAGGGAAATTTCCATGGCTTAACAACACTGCTTGGAAACATAAACAAAGTGGCAAAAATTGGCAGAAACTATAAAATGAAGTGAAGTGAATTACAAAAGTAAGTTTTTATGGCTATATTTCTGTGCAAACCGTAATGAATTAATTAATATTAATTATTTTGCAGTATGCGGCATTCCAAAAGTTTACGTGCGGTCATAAAAGCGAGCTACGTATGTTGCTACGAAGCTCTGCAATTGTTTATTTGTGCACAAGTTGGAGCGATTTGCAATGGCTTGGATAATAAGGTATGATGGTAGTTTTAAGTATGTACTCCCAAGCATTAACTGGTTGCTATTATTTATCTTGCTCAAAAGTGTAACCCCGCTACCTGATCGTCCTCGCCAGCGATATGCTCGAAAAAGACACACCCTGCTATTTCAAGGATCAACGCGAAGCAAGCGCATTTCGCTTTACCTCCATTGCTCCATCCAGCCTCAATACGGTTCGTTTAAACTTACACCACTCACAGTGAAGAAGAGAAGAAGGTGCGTAAAAGAAAGCTTCAGAAATATTAGAAAATGTTTAGTTACTTATACAACGATTTTGATTCGGGTAACGCGTTTGGGCACAGCAAACCAAAATTATTGTACGAATAACTAAACCCGAAATGTAATTTTTCAACTACATCATTTATTTACTGTTTTCTTACTTACAGGATGCAACCGGCAAGGATACTACAGTTTCTAATTCGGTTTCTATATTCCCAACAGAGAACTACGATCCCATCACAACGCCATCAACTCCAGAATCGGCATCAAATAATGCAATCGCTTTGCAGTGCATGAATGCAGCAGAAGCCATTACCCCTAACCGCTAATGNCTACGATCCCATCACAACGCCATCAACTCCAGAATCGGCATCAAATAATGCAATCGCTTTGCAGTGCATGAATGCAGCAGAAGCCATTACCCCTAACCGCTAATGTGACGCAATGTTGAAGTGCAGAGTACATGTACGAAGCTCATATAGTTGTAAGCCAAGGCTTTT